CTTTGGTCGGAATGCGCCCCCCCCCCCCCCCCCCCCCCCCCAAACCCGACGAGAAGTAAGGCCCCCCAACGTTCCGCTTAGCCCCCCCCATTGACGAAAACCTGGCTACGCCACTGGTCAAGAGCAGTCACAGGAAGCGGAGAAATGATTGCTAAGGCTTTGTGAGAACTGGGCTCTAACTTGATCAATACGAAAGAAATTCCAATAGAAATGGAGATGATGAAAGGGATGGGAGAGAATCCTGCAAAAGATTTGAAAGAAGCTCCAGCTTCTTTCAAATCTTTTTTGTCATTCCGATGGAAACAAGAAGCGTATTCACCGTGGAGCCTCTCGATTGCGACAGCGGAAAGAGTCCCCTGTGTTCCAGGGATAGCGCAAGCACTCCATGGATATCGTTCTTGGGTCTCACGGTCGTCCTAGAAGTTCTTTGTATTCGCAAGGGCATGGGACACTCAAGTCCTAATCTCACTCTCCAGAGCAGACGACGCAGTGATGCGCAGAGATAGACAGTGTTGCCAAGGGAGGGGGGAAAGGGGGGTCCATCGCGCCATGCACGGCTTCTCTCGACCTCTTCGTGACATCAGCAAAATTTCACAATTTGCAGATTTCGTAAACCGTTCGTACGAGTCCCAAATTCCAAGGAATGTTTTCGTGCACTGCAGCATAGCATGCGTCGTGAGCAGGCGATTCATATTATTCCTTAACGGTCAAAAGGAAACAGGTTATGACCAGCATATTCTGAGATTAAATTGAGAATTTCTAATGATATGCCTTCCCCAAGAAAGAACTACCGGTTCCAGCTTTCTTGTTCTTGTCTTGGGAGCGGGAGGGTCTTCCTGCATCCTTGGGAAATGTTTATTGTCATTTTCTTTATTTTCCCCCCTTTATCTCCTTTTGATATCATGATATAGAGGATAAAAAAATGCATGAAACATGGGATTCGGCTTGGCCTCCGAGATTTGATCACATTATTCAACTGATAACAATAAGCGACGTGGAATGTGTCTCCGTTCTCGTCTGTTGATGCTATAATGATTCTTTGACCCCAAAAAGGGATTTCAATTTACGACATTCATGCTCACAATTGAAATGATTTCAAATTGAAATCACTAGCCGGAAAAAATGTATTCCTTTAGTAATTCTCCATCCCAAATTCCGAATAATTGTTCTTGGAGGAATTGAAGTTGTCATTATGAATGCAAGGATGAGGAAGCGATTATCATTTCGCGAGCTTCGTCGACGATTGTGTCCAAGTTACCGATACGCATAAAGAAACGTTGATGCATCAATTTGTTCATCGGAAAGAAGAAATTCTCCTCGCAGATAGCCGTATTTCTCTCAGTGTACCAGCAATCCTGCTGTCGTGGAGTGGCCACGAAGGTAAACAAGGAAGAAGAGGATCGTAGGAGTGTCCTCCCCCTGTCGTCGTTGGAGAGGGATGGATCAGTCCCTCTCCAGCGTCTCGTCCTCGTCAGGAGACGAGAGATCGAAGTGTGGGAAACGATTCACACGGGGTCGATCACGTTCAGGGCCTCTTGGAGAATCGTTTCAACGCATCCTGGGGAATAGCGAGAAATATTTCCAGGCGGGGGTCGTTTGCTGACCGCTAAGACGGGGATCAAGGTATTATAGAATTGCAGCATCAGCGCTTCTCACCTGAGAGTTTACGAGTTGTGGCCAACTACACGGGCCAGTCACGTAAAAAACGAGAGTGCGGTCGCAGTGTCGTAGGAGAAGATGCAATCGGTTTGTAGGTGGTGGTATTGGGTTCTCTATTCCTTCGGCCTCGTTCTAGTGGTCGTCGGAAGCATCCTTTATTCCACCGCGCCCAAAAACTTCGAGAAGATGGTTAAGAAGGTAAGTGCTTTATCACGATCGAGTATACTTTGATCAAAGTTTTCTCAGAACTTTAAGCAATTAATGAAGGACGCATTGGTGCAATCTCGTGGTCAACTCATGCATTTCTCATACATTCTCGAGTAAAGTTAGCTCATTCTGAAAATTGAGAGAGAATTCGGGCCATATCTATTATCAAAACGGTTTGCCATTGAAGTTGACTAAAGGTATTATTCGCGATGAGGAAACCACATCAAATAGTAGTAATGATTGAAGCTGTAAAATTACCTCAACCTGATATGGAGTGTTATTGCCCCACCTCATAGGAAATTCTCTCGGAAAGAAAACATATCGGAATCACCATGCGAACCATGTAAGAGTATTTGTGAAATACAGAATGGGAGGCTCTTCCATTTCTCATACACTCAGCCACGGAGAAGAGAGGGGAACAGGTTGTTGGTCACCCTGGAAAAACGCTGCTGTGGATATGGAGTTACAATATTGTTTTTCTTTTTTCCCGCAATATGCGTGCGTTGCCTCCCCAATTATTGTTTTTTTTTTGTGCTTATAATATACTATTATACGTCCATTATACAGTATAATGTATAATGGGCGTCAGAGCCTTGCGGTTAATCCTATTATTCTCCCGTTAGAATGGGAATGTGTACGTAGATTCTTGTGCTTTGATTGAATTCTGAAAGTGAATAGTAGTTCTTGAATATTTTTTTAGGGAAAAAGTATGAATACCGCTCGAAAACGCTATTGGAAGGCGTGAATATTTATTAATGGATATTTAACATTTACTGAAGAATTGAATTTGAGTTCTTGTATCTCGTAAAGTTTCAAGAGCAATAGCATAGAAAAATAATGGTAACAGCATGCTTTCGCATAACTAATTTTCAATAGTATGTTCGGTCCCAATGTTTCAAAGAATAAGTTTTGTTCGAGCAGGGGAATAGAAGTCAAATATTCATAAAACGGAAAAGTGGCAATAATTTGAAAGAATTTTTCATTGTGTGTCTGCTATACATATTAGTTGCGGATAATATAGATCCATTTAAAATATGAGTAATTCTCAAACGCAGAAATATCACTAGAATATTTAAATGCTGAAGTGAACACTCATTTGAGCATTGAATAAACTTTTTTCCGGACAGCGTCTCACGCCGAGACATTCATGATCACTCGAGGCGAACCGATGAGAATTGTTACCTTAGGAGTAACATCAACATCACTATCCAGTTCATTGGAAGTTTGCTGATGTTGATGGAGTTCAGAAGGTTGCTTTCCACACACCAGATGAACACACCAGTGCATAAAAAAAATTTCATTCCAAGTTTGTCACATTTTATTTGCGATTTTCCACTGAGTTACTCCGTAGGTAACTTCCATTCAAGAGTAACAAATTGCAGGATTTTGTTACCACATTTTCAGAGTAACAAGTTAAGAGTGCAGTGTCCGGGAAATACCCACATCTTGTGCAACAAGTCTTAAGGACGACTCGAAGAGAAAAGTCGCATTTGTTCCGGAAGCCCCAGTACCTGTAGTTATGACATTTCTTGATAGGATCAGCTGCAGTCAATCCTCTGACCATTTAGTATGCTCCCTATCCAGATGAAGTTCGGGGAGACGAGTTTTGCGATAAGGATCGGATCGGCGGACTCGTTTCACTTCTTTCCCATGCAATCAACATTTCTGGAGGCATGGATTCGGTTCCACAAAGAATTGATAACACATTACCTCTTTCGTTTTGATATGACAGGAAAGCGACTTGACAGATTTAGGACTGGCGCATCCTGGAACGGAAAAAAGGAAATCTCCGTCTTTACTTGAATTCAGTGTGTTCCAGTTCTGCCAAAATTCATTTTTCTTTTACTTTTGCTTTCCATTCCAGCAATTGTTATCGGATACTAAAACAGAAGCGTTCAGAAACTGGATTGAGCCCCCCATCCCGATCTATCTACAGTTTTACATGTTCAACGTCACCAATCCAGACGAGTTTCTTTACATGGGAGCAACACCGAAACTGCAACAACTTGGACCATACACCTACAGGTTCGGAAAGGATAAAATATTGATGGATCCCTGGATCGCGAGAGAATCCTCATGTGTGTGACTGCCTTTTTCGATTGTTCTGAACAGAGAAATACTGAAGACGGAAGTGCTGGAGATCTACGACAACGGTACCGTGGAGTATTTCCACACCAGAACTTTCCACTGGGATGAGAGCATGTCGTCAGGAAAGGAATCGGATATCATCATCTCCTTGAATGCGCCAGTTCTGGTACGAGATGAAAAAACAGGCAAATAGGAACGTCCACGCCAATTTTCAACGCATCTAAATTGTCCTTGCAGTGCTATTTAGCAGGGTAAACAATTCCTTACCTGAATCCAGGCTGGGACCTGAGATTGATAAAGGTGTCAAGAGGTGTAGATTCATAATTCGCACGCACTGGCAATGACACAAGAACCGGGGAGGGAGAGGTGACAAGAGTGGAAAATGGTCATCCGTACTTCTTCGTGTTTGTGGGGAAGAATAAAATTAATACGAAATGACGCTCGACCATCGAGTATGTCGCGATAAAAAAATGTTCGGTTCCAGCTAATTTATAGACCTTGCAAGAAAAGAATCGCCTCCATCGGATTTACGGTTAGTGGGATATCGATCTCAGAACTTTGGGGAAAACGGGTAAAACCCCGCAAATGGCAAATATATATATATATTTGGGAACTATCCATCGTATCGTGGCGTGCAATAGCTTGAACCGAAGCTCTTTAGTAGTTAAACAATTTTCTCCGAACAAAAATTTCTCGTATTTTCGAAAATTTTCCCTGCAAAAAATCACTAATTGTCTGAATGAACTGAAGCTCACCTCCATATAAAGGGGTGGGGCGCTCAGAAAGTTTCCGGACGTGACTTCATGGAAATTATAGCACAACAAAGCTTTTCTACACTTTCAGCTACACTTGATTTGAGTCTGACTACAAATTTTCAAATATATACGTCATCATATATTTTATTTATGCCATTTTATACCATCATATCTGCAATCTGTTTTTTGTTCCGCACATCGAAAAATTCTCGATCAAAAATTAGAATATTTCAAATTTGAGGTGAATTTTTCTCTATGTAGCGGACAAAATGTGAACCAAGAAACTAGCTTTATCGATGTACCTGAAAGAGGAGCGCGAGTTATGGTAACGATAGCAAACGAACACTTATGGTGCGAGATCGGTGGGGCAACTGGGAAGATCGTGATAGGAATTTGCTATAGGCCCCCTAACTCTTCTCTCGAGGATGAAGCAGCATATTTTGCACTCATGCGTAGAATCAGCGAGATCTCGAAGTAGGTATTGCTCTTCGGAGACTTTAACATGCCAAAAATAGATTGGTCGGTGCCGCAAGGGGGGTGCGAAAGGGATAGGGAATTTCTCGTTGCGGTTCAGGACGCTCTTCTCGTTCAGTACGTAAATGAACCGACGCGCGAGAAAGCTTTATTGGATTTAGTTTTTGCGACGAACGACGATCTGGCACGAGACGTTAAGGTACAGGATAACTTGGGAGATTCGGACCACTGCGCGATCATGTGGAATATCAAGCGGACGAAGAGTAACGCCAAACCGAGGAAGGTTTCGTACAACTATAAGAAGGCTAATTTCGAGAGACTACGTGAATGCGTTTCAGGCATCAACTGGGAGGCGCGGCTCCGTGGGCTGACGGTAGAGGAGCAGTGGGGGGCGTTCAATACGTTATTGCAGGGCTTTATGGAGGAATGCATCCCCAAGAAATCCATAAAATCGGGCAGGCAACCGGTCTGGTTTACGGGTAAAATCAAAGCTAATCGGTTTACGGGTAAAATCATCAGGGATAAAAAGCGGAAATAGGATGCGTACAAGCGGACTGGAGATTGCACGGACTATGAGGAATATAGGAGGATCACGCGGACGTTGAAGCGGGAAATTAAATCTGCGAGACGGGAGCGAGAGGAACGGCTGGCTAGCGATGCTAAGAAGAACCCTAAGGCTTTTTATCGGTATGCTAGTGGTAGGTGTCAACAGTCGATCAGGCCGCTAATGAACGAAAAGAGGGAGTTGATTGCAAGTGATAAGGATATGGCCAGTATACTTAACGAGTTTTTCGCTTCCGTTTTCACTGTGGAATCCGACTCGGCACCGACTTTGGAGGAGGTGATCGAGGATATTTCCTTCACCGAGGAGACGATCGTGAATACGATAGGGAAGTTAAAGGTGGGCAAGGCGACCGGCCCCGATGGGATTCCTGCGAGAGTCATTAAGGAAACCGCGAGAGAAATATCGGTTCCACTAAGAATTATATTCGAAAGCAGCTTTTCGCGCGGGGAAGTACCACTGGAGACCAGCAAACGTCGTACCGATCTTTGAGAAGGACGAAAAGAGTCATCCAGGAAATTACAGGCTGGTAAGTCTCACGAGTATCCCAGGGAAGATCATGGAGAGCATATTAAGGGACCATCTCTTGGATTTCCTCGAAGGAAACGCGCTNAAAAAAAAAACAAAACAAAACAAAAATACAAAAATTTTTAGCTTTAAGAGGGTTAGGCCTACCCTAAAATTAAGGAACGCTCGACCTCGACACGTGAAATGGGCGAAATCGCCTCTTGATGTCACTAACTATCTTGAATCTTGAATCTTGATAGATTTGTCGTTTCCCGCGCTGCGTAGGGAAAAGACAAATTGGGGGGGGGGGGGGGTTTCAGGGGGGGAAAATCGCCAGAATTTCACTTTTTGAAACTCAACTGTGATGCTGGATTCTCATTCAAATTCCGGGGATGTGTGGAGCCAATTGTTTGCCTATTAAATAGCTTCAGTTCGATCTATTCCACGCCTCGATACGATGAATGGTTCCCGAGATGAAAATTTTGCAGTTCGTGGGGTTTTTCGGTTTTGCCCGAAGTTCTTGGGCCGATATCCTGCTTTCAGCAGTTTCGATGGAGGCAATTCTTTTTTTTTTCTTTTTTTTTTTTTTACGTGGTCCTTACATGTACTAACACAGACAAGAATTTTAGCGCGAAATCTGAGATGGTCGAGAGCCCTGTCTGATTGAGTGAATGACAACCTCCGCTGATGCGTTCGCCTCAGTCGATGAAGGGAAGGAAACTATTTGTGTGCCTTATAAAAGAGGCTGAGGTCGTGTTGTTCTCCTTTCGTCGCCTATTTTGATAACGAACATTTTGACCAATTCGAAGGAAATTCATACCTGGTACTGGCCAAGCATTTTTCTATCAAATTAGGGAAAACCACGCCCTCTGCCTCTTTGGTTTTTTTTTTTGTAAGGCACGCACAGACTCCCGTTAACTTCATTGGCTGAAGCGGGCTTGTGCGGCACACTTTGTTTACCTATTAAGTTTGAACTGGCATGGTACGTGATATAATGTACCAACATTTTTTAAATTAGATACTTATTTTCTTTACTCTATTCACGTGCAATGTCTAAAAAATTGTGTCGATCTGATGAAATTTCATCAGATCAACACAATTTCAATTGATATTTCGATCATAATAGAAAAATATATTTCGACCGGGTAAGTAGGAGAGTTGATATCGGGAAAGACCTATTTTAAGCTTATTACATAGTTTTGGAGTGAATAACATGCCATATGTACGGTATAAAAGATTTGGGTTCTCCTTCCAAAAGTGCCCTGGAGGTCATATTTCGCGCATGCCGTTCAATGATTCACTAATGCATATAAACGTGCGGGTTTGCACAGACGAAGGTGCATGGGGATGAAGCTCTAATATTTATTTTCTTCTTATGCCTATGCTTTCTTACTTATTCACCCATAATAAGTGAGTTTTATCGTAAGAAGGAATTTGTCGAGAGAGTGTCTTCGGTGTTGCGAATGCGTTTAAGCAAGCGGATATTTTGCAGCTCATGGCCATGAAAATGGCGGAAATGGGGTTTGGAGCGTTACTTGAATCCATCATCCCACTAATTGAACCACTGGACGAAGGGAAGCCGTTCTTGAGAAAAAGCGTGGCGGAGCTCCTCTTTCAAGGATATGAGCTCACTTTCATGGAGATAATATATCATTTTTTGATTGACGAGATGAATTTGCCTGAAGACCTTGTCAACCAAATGTTCGACTCAATACTGCCACCTGAAATGTCGGACGGCAAGTTTGGCTACTACCGTGTGAGTTCCAGTTGTGCCTATTTGGCTTCCATTGCAGTAGATGAGGCTATGCGAAGATGTTTAAATCGGTGCAATGCAAATTTGGTTGCTTGAGAAAATGTAAACGATACAGTCAAAGTGCCATAGATTCGGATAGATAGGTTTGTAACCAGGACGCGAAACTTTTTCTACCTACGCTAGTTAATTAATTTAAAGTAAGATTAAACTCAATCACGCAACAAAACGGTATGTTGAAGTTAAGCAGAGATTAAGTTTTCAACTTTGCTGCAACTTGGGCGTTGCGATATGTGAGTAATTTCTCGGTAGGCATACCGTGGCTCAATACCACAGTATAACGGTGACACCGGAGAGGAGCGGGGTTTTGGGGTGGGGGGTGCTCCAGTTCCGAATTCCCAGGAGGAAAAACTCACGAGCGAGAGCGAGCCTTTCTGTTGTGATGGCGTGGAGCAAGTCGCGCATCCGTATCAGGGGCATTCGAGGGAAAGCCAGAGGATTCGTCCGTTTCAGACCAAATGGATGGATTTGGTTGGCGTACCCAGGAATAATAACGCCAATAAAGTTGCTGGGATGACTAAATTCATGGATCTCGAGAAAAATAAGCATCATGGACGAGAAACCATCTCATCATTGTGCATGGCCATGGGTTTCTTCTTGCTATTGAGTGCTCAAGCTCACCGAGCATAGGACAAAGTCAAATTTACCTACGAAGGACGGATTATTAAAAATATAACAGTAAGTTGCAAAACGCTGTGACAAGGGCGTTGCGGTGTACTGGTATTTTCATTATCCCGCCGTATTCGGTTCTCCTGACAATTATACCGGCACTCAACATTTTTCTTATTTATCACCCTGGATTCCTTGCATTCTAGTATTCCTTGCATTCTAGTATTCCTATCTAGGAATGTTGCACATGCTCATACCGTCACCAAGGTACTGTAAGGACTTCGCCTCTAATTTTACTGCCTCCACGGCGCCATACTAAGAGCCATCCCTAAAAACAAAATACTTATTCCCTCGACATCCATGGCGACGTCCACAGCCTGGGAAAACCGAAACCTTCCTAGGAGTCACTGGAGTGTATTTTATCCGCACTCAAGGACCAAGATCCGACCTTTGCTAATAATAATTGCCGAAAATATTGACTTTTTTCTCAATAAGTTTCAATGCAATTTTGTGTATCGGTATGAAACATACTCATATATGCAAACAGGAAAGTTTCGTGAAAATCGCTCTATTGTGAAGGGAGACATTTGGGTTGAAAGACGATGGTCAATTTTTTGCCATGCCCTGTGTGCTCGCAGCACCTGTGCTTGTTTTAGATTTTCATCGCCTTAATTAATGACATGCTATTTAGCTTAGCATACTGACTCACAAGATATTACTCAACATTCCTTGGAGCATGCCACTCAAAAATAAAAAGCTAATCAAATTCACACCTAACGGAACTTGAATGACGCGATGCTTCCATTGGGCAGCTGAATGGTACCAGCGACGGTAATTACTTGGTCGGCACCGGCGTAAATGGACCGGAAGATTTCGCCGATATCAAGCTCTGGCGAGGGGAGCCATTCCACTATAAAAGACCATGGCGGACGGATGAGTGCAACATGATCAATGGCACCGACGGCACGATCTTTCCCCCCTTTGTCGACGAAAACTCCATCCTATATGTATTCACCCCGGACTTGTGCAGGTGAAAAATCGATCGCTTACCGGAAATGCTACCAAGTGTAGACATTCGTGATGCAAACCAGTGATGTGCTAATGTTCAGGTCAGTGTACATCACGCATGAAATGGAGGTGGAATATCAAGGGATACCAGGACTTCGATTCATCGTCGATCCTGACGTCATCGAAGACCCAGCAATTAATCTGGACAATCAGTGCTTTTGTTTATCGAATGGAACATGCTTGAAAGCAGGAGCTTTAGATCTCTCCGAATGTCTTGGTAAGTTGAAAAGAACCCATGATGCTTGAATCCCATTGAAGAACAATTCTTCATGGTGCCACATTCTGAAGGCGAATCTTGTGTGTGAGATAATTTTCCAAAAAATTTCTGTCCCGCAGGTGTACCGTTGGTGATGTCCATGCCGCATTTCTACTTAGGATCAGAAGATTACTACAACGAATCCATCGTGGAAGGGTTGGAGCCAAGGAAAGAATGGCACCAGACCTTCGTCGACCTCGAGCCTGTGCGAATCCACACTCTTAGCTATGTTACTTTGAAAATGGAGTAACAAAATCTTGCAATTTTTTACTCTTGAATAGGAGTAACCTACTGAGTAACATAGTGGAAAATTGCATATAAAATGTTGCAAACTTGGAATGAAATTTTTTAAATATATCCTGGATTGCTCATTAAAATAAATATTATGTCCTGAACTTCAACATTTCCGAGAATTGTTACGTCAAGAGTAACATCAACTTCACTATCCAGTTCATTGGAAATTTGCCCTGAGAGATGTTGATAGAGTTCAGAAGGTTGCTTTCCTTTTACATGAACACAACACTGCATAAAAAATTTTATTTCAAGTTTGTAACTTTTTACTGTTACTCCGTAGGTTACTCCTATTCAAGAATAACAAATTGTAAAATTTTGTTACCCCATTTTCGGAGTAACAAGTTAAGAGTGCATCTCTTGCCTCCAATATCATTTTGGTCACGGTCTGAATTAAAACTATAATCAAAGGGAAGGAATGGAAGAGGACCCTATACTCTTCAGAGAATCACGCCTCAGCTCCCTTCCTGAGCAGCCAGCGAGCCTAGAGCGAACGTTGGCAATTAAAATGCAGATACAAATTCATAGATTAATTCATATTGCGAAATATTGAATATTATATATTTACATACATGCAATATATCTCGAAACTATACGCATATTAAGAATTTGAGTGCTATACAAGTCTTTTATATCGTTCCGTCTGCAGCACTAAGGTTCTGGTCAAAGTACTCGAGATATTTACTCCAAAAATATTGCTGTGCTCTTATGGAGGCAGAAATAATTGAATCGCCTTCAGGAAAACAATACTCAGCTGTGTTAAGTTCCAAATGTATTATTGGGAAAACTCTATGAATTGATGGTCAAAGATTCACTTGATATTCATTGGGAATAACCTTATGGAACCCACCTCGCTCGAGTGTTTCTTCCTCTCCACTACCAGCAGGAACTCTTGTCCATTCTAAATGTCTAATTTCTTTAAATGATTACAGATGGTTTTGCTTAGACACACTAAATTCGGATGACATTTTAAGTTAGCTGGAAACACACTCATGAATGCTTAATGAATGCTGGAAGAGAATAGCTCCAGCATGAGTGGAGATGTTTTGGCCAAATTTCATTGATCTTCATTTGCCATGATATGTACATTGAAAAACTCATATGTACATTGGAAAAAAAAAATGAAAAGATGAACGACCTAGGACGACGAAAGAGAATATTTCACAATCGCAAGAGCTCGTGGATTTCCTCTGCATTCACTTGGATCAGTCCCTGCACATCATCAGCCATGTTAATATGCAGAGACCAAAGGCACCCCCTTAGTGCGTCGAGTCCTCTCCTATTACTGGTCCTTGCCATAGTCTTCAAAAAATGGCTTCTCGCCAAGGAGGAACTTGGATTCATGTATGGTACAGTTGTGCTTATGGCTGGTCTGGTGACTACTTGGTAGAAAAAATTCGGGTATCTCTTGTTACTAGGAATACTGAAAGCCCTGGAGGAAAAATAATTATTACACGTATTAACCTATATAATATATTATTGCCACGCTAAATGTTCAAAAATAATAATTTCATATAACTAGGAATTTTGCTTTTCGAGCTCACAATGATCGCGTCTTTGGTGCTCCATTGCGAGTATCATTTCCAATGTCTTAACATTTTGGGTGCCTATTCGTCCCTTCAGCCTTGTTTTCTCGGTCTTCAAGGATGTGACTCAGTATGGCCTGTTTTGCACGGAAGGATTTCGGCATTCGTATTTATTTTGACAATTGCTTATAAGACAGCTGAACTCATCACACTGTCGATGTCAAGGAATTTTTTCAGAACGGCTCATACCGAATCTTCTGTCTCCTCCTCTAGTTGACTGGCACTATCTTGAATGCCTCCAAGAAACTTCAAGTGAACTTCAAGCTGAGGCCGGTCGAGCATTATCCAAGCTTTGCTAATGTCACGGAAATGCTCTTCCCAATATTTTGGATGAATGAGGTACTCGACTTTATCTTCATGATTTCACATTCTGATAAGTCATGGGAAGTGATAAAGATCTGATTGTATGATCCTATCAATATTCATGTGATGTTCTCGTGTATCTGGTGCCTTTACAATGCTGATCTCATGTATCTTGTACACATTTTATGATGGCGTCTTGAAAGCTTTCTATCTGAAATTCCCTTCGAATTTTTGAAACCCCAAAAATTTACTCACAAGGGACACTAACCAAGTGATAATTTCAGATTTTCACCAAACCTTGGTCATTGAAAGGACTCAAAACGAAGTCACAAGGCGCCAAAACGTGCGGCAAAGAAACAGGTTTAGGCTCATAACTGGCACTCTCAATTTTCAGTGATACTCTACTGGATTATTATAGTCACGGCCCTATTTTCACTGACTAACTTTTCAAGAAAATGTCAAATTCAGCTGATATTTCATCAGTTGAGAGGTTCAGCTGAGAGGTTCATCAGTCAAGGAGGTTTTCTTCCCATGCCACAAGATGGCGTTACATGCCTATAGAGGGCGCTGATGTCTACAGCAGTGGCACCTATCTACTCGCTATTTCATTTTTTAGGCACTGGAAAAAAATCCGTTAAGGCCTATGAATTTCTCTGCCAAATATCAGCTGCATCCGAGAGTTCTTTCAAAAGATATGGTCAAACAAAGTTAAATGTTGGCATGTAACAATTGAATTTCGTTTAGTCATAACTTTTTAAGGAAAAGTCACATGCAGCTGATGTTTGACAGAGATGTTCATGGGCCCATGACTTATTCGTTCCCTTACCTGGCACATGGTTCTACATGTTCACAGGAGACGCCGTGGTGGCATAAGCAAAGGTAAGAGACAGAGAATAGGAATTGCGTACACAAAAGGAATACGTCTAGCATTCACATCACTCCTACCAAGAGATGGTGAAACTCTCGGTGCAGTAATGTCTCATGTTGATATGCTGTTACTACGTATTACCAAAATAGAAACACTGTAAGGAAACTCTGTAAGCAGAGCCCTCGTGCTTCTTCACATTTCACCTTCGTGTATGCAATCACTGCACCCTCTGTTAAAATGTACAAATATGTGCCAGACAAGGGAACTAATAGGTCATAAACACAAGAACATCTCTGTCAAGCATCAGCTGTATCTGATTATTTCTTAAAAGGTTATGACCAAACCAAGTTCAATTGTTACAAGTCAAAATCCAACTTTGATCATATCTTTTGAAATAACTCTCGGATGCAGCTGAAATTTGGCAGAGTGATTCATAGGCCTCAACGGATTCTTTTTCCGGTGCCTAAAAAACGACATAGCAAGTAGATAGGTGACGCTGCTGTAGACATCAGCGCCCTCTACAGTATAGGCATGCAGCGCCATCTTGCGGCATGAGAAGAAAACCTCCTTGACTCATGAACTTCTCTGTTAAATGTCAGCTGAATTTGACTTTTCCTTGAAAAGTTATTGTCAATGAAAATAGGGCCGTGACCTTAATAATCCTGTATCACTGAAAATTGAGAGAGCCAGTTATGAACCTAAACCTGTTTCTTTGCCGCAAGTTTTGGTACCGTTTGACTTCGTTTTGAGAGTCCTTTCAATGACCAAACTAAAGTGAAAATCTGAAATTATCGCTTGGGTAGTGTTCCTTGTCAGGTCATTTCGAACTCAAAGGAATCGACATGATATTGGGTCCCCTGAATTCGTTTCAGAGCGTAACCTTACCCCAGGAGTTTGCCGACGATCTCTACACAACGATCGTCATGCCTCAAGAAGCCATCACCATCGGATCGCAGGTGGCCTTTGGCATCGGGCTTTTCACGATATTGGTGACAATGGGAGCTTGCGTCGTACAAGGATTCCGGAACTAGAGATTTTGTCCCTTCTAGAGAGAATTGTCCATTTGCCGAGTTACTCGATGCGTCTGCATGAAGTTTCCTTGCTTTAAACTGTAAAAAGACGATTCGGTGAGAAATTTATCATAAGTATGCATGCGTACAGAGAGAAAACAAGAGAAAACACTTCTCGAGAAGTTGCTACAACTCGCGGTCGACGTCCCCCTCCTCTCATAGTATTGCTGACTTTTCTTTCGACTTGGTTTCGACTTGATCGTCGTCGTGATGTTCGCATTGTATGCTTTCAGTGCTATTATAACATCTGTCTGTTTTTCGCCCTAGACGGTCAATGTTATGTAAAGGAATAAATATTGAATATAACCGAAAATTGCGTTTCCTCATGAGTCTCTTGAGACGAACGATGCATGAAACGAACAGCTAGATTCCCAATCTCAGATTGCCACACTCGACACTCAATCTCGCTCTCGAGAGCAGACCGCGCAGTGATGCTCAGAGATCGGCATTGTTGCCGTGGGGGAGGGGGGCGGGGGGAGTCCGTCGCGATGCACGGCCGAATTCACGGACTCATGGAGCTCGTGTGTCAAAGGATTCGCTTCGTTTCCGTATGGGAATGCTGAGCTGTACAGGTACGGTATCTTGTTGTCTTCGTTTTACTGCATCGGGAAATCGGGAGCAGCCGTCGACCAAAGGAACTGTCGAACGGGAATACGGATGGCGTTCTGGGAGGCGATTGCGTTGTCGTCGGGGGTCCATCGAATTCGACCTTTCGTTAGTAAGCGGTTTAGTAACCTAGCAGCTAAAAAATCAAAATGACCATGAGAAGGACAATTGACCATAGTCCTTCCCATAGAGCCTTGACAACTCACTACCTTGCCGTTTAGGGTCAAGTCAGGTCGCACGCACTCTTTCACTCGTCTTTCACAGCCATAATACCTTAATAATCTTTGTTATGAAGGGCAGTGGGAAGGTTCGCACTGTCGCATCCTGTAAGAATACTTATAGGAATCTACCGGCAGAAAATATTTTATTTCATGAATTTCCAAAATGTATAGACAGAAATAATGAGCGGCTTCCAGCACTAGGAAGAAAATCTGTTCCCAGATATTATTTCGTGTGATCGCATCACTCCTTAGATACTTATCGTGATGGAAACGCCATAAGGCGCTGGAAAAGTCTCAACGTTTCAACATTTTCTCAATTTCGACACGACGTCGTTGAGCTGAATGGGTGGGTAGTCTTCGATGTCACTGTTTCCGCTCTTGAAATGCAGAAAACACCGTTGCACACTTGTGTAACTGTTGGTAGACTCACCATAGCAGCCACACATTAATGTTTTCAGGGGTTACATATTCTTTTGTGGGAAACTCTATCAGAGTTTTTTGCTTCAAAATACCATCCATAGGCGCCGTTATCAATGACTACTGTGCTGCCTCCTGGGCATAAACAATGAAATTCCCTATGTCCATCAGTAGCTGAAATAAGTATTTTGTGTGAATAAAATCTCCAGGCTTGTCCCTATAGTGGTTCTATAATAAATTGGGCTCATTACTTTCAGTATGCTCGTCGTATATCGGGAGGAAAAAAGGCTCTTTGCAGATAGCCGTACTGCTCTTAGTGCAACGTTGTCAGTGCTGCTGTCGTGGTGAGGCCACGAAGGTAAACAAGGAAGAAGTGGATCGTCGAGGATGAGCTCGGATGGGAGGGGCTGTCCTGTTGTCGCTGGAGAGGGACGGAGACTTGAGAACTAAGTGTGGGAGAGGATTCACACGGGGTCGTTCGCATTCAGGCCCTCTGAGGGTTGGAATGAGAATCGTTTCGACTCGCCCCTGGAAAACGAGGTATTCAGTATTTACAGGCAGGGGTCGAATGCTGCTGGTTTGACGGCGGTCAATGTATCCAAGGATTGTAGAATCAGCTCTTCTCGCCTGAGAGTTAACGAGTCGCGACGGACGGTTCGGTCCGGTCACGTGAGAAGCAAGAGTGCGTGCAGTCGCAGTGTCGTAGAAGATGAAGTCACTTTGTAGGTGGTGGCATTGGGTTCTCTATTCCTTCGGCCTCGCTCTGGTGGTCGTCGGAAGCATCCTTTATTCCATCGCGCCCAAAAACTTCGAGGAGATGGTCAAGAAGGTAAGTGCTTCATCACGATCGAGTATACTTTGATCAAAATTTTCTCAAACCTTTAAACGATTAATAAAGGAAGCATTGGTGCAATCTCGTGGTCAACTCGCGCATTTCTCATACATTCTCGAGTATAACTTAGCTCGTTCTGAAAATTGAGAGTGAATTCGGGATATATCTATCATCAAAACGGTTTGCCATTGAAGTTGACTGAAGACATTATTCGCGATGAGAAAACTGCATCAAGTAGTGGTGAAGATTGAAGCTGCAAAATTACCCAAACCTGATACAGAGAGATATGTTATCATCTCATGGGAAATTCATCCGGAATCCAAATCACCATGCGAACCACGTAGGAACATTTGTGAAATACGGAATGGGAGACCGTTTCATTCATCATACATGCATCAATCGGGGACAAGAGAGGAACAGGTTGCTGAACACCCTCAAAAAACGCTGCTGTGAATAAGGAATTATGATATTGTTCCAAAATGTTCCCGCAATCTGCAAGCGTTGCCTCCCCGAATATTGATTTTTTTTCGTTTTTAATGCATCAAGGGTGTCGGTGCAGGGGTGATAATTCTTATTATCCTCCCGTTAGAATGCGAATGTGTACGAGGTTCTTGTGGTTCAATTGAATTCTGAAGGTGAATAAGCATGAATATGAATACCACTCGAAAATACTATTGGAAGACATGAATATTTCTTATGGATATTTGATAATTACGATGAATTGAACTTCATTCTCTGTATATCATGGGATTCCAAAAGAATTTGCATAGAAAAAAGCATGACACCAGTATGTCTCTTTATCATCAATTTTCTATTATATGTAGGGCTCCAATGTATCAAATAATGAGCTTTCGTTGAGCAGGGCAATAAAGGCAAATATGCAGAAAACGGAAAAGTGACAATAATTTGAAATAATTTTACATTGTGGGTCTGCCATAAATATTGATCGAAGATAATGTGCTAAATAAAACCTAAAATATGAATAGCTGTCAAACGCAGAAATATCCCTAGGATATTTTAATGGGATGAATTAAACACTCTTTCAAAGTAAACTTATCCAGGGACAGCGTCTCGCCCTGAGGCATTCATAGTCACTCGAGACGAACCAACATTTCTAGCCAGAGGCATCTCGACGATCCAGTCATAGTCCCACGGTAAACCTTGTACCACGCGATAGGCGATCACTAGCCGAGACCAAGAAGGCTTCTAGCGAATGGCTGTTGATGGTTTGGAAGCTAAATAGGCCAGGCTCGCTGAGAAGTTCCTGCGAAGGAAGTGATTCTGTGTTGCACTCTATCCTTTATGATGAATGATTACTTGCTTGGGTTGCACCGGTCTCATTGTACTTCATGAAGGAGATGCATATCTGCACTCGATCATGAGTGCGTTCGTTTTCGTAGCGCTCTCGCTATACCGGATAGCCCAAACAAACCGTCTTGTTGTCGCTTTATAAAACCCGCTGTGGATGATATAGGTTCGCGATGTTTTCCTAACACATTGGAAACATCACACAATTTATTTCCTGAAAGTTTCATGCACGTAGGTGGTCTGAATAAATATCGACAGTCGTTCAAAGCGGAGTCAAAGTGGAGGAAAACGTCACGAATCTACATCATCCACAGCTGCTTCTATAAAGCGTCAAACAGGACGCGTCTTTTTTTTGGGCTGCCGAGAATTTCAGCCTTTCCTTGTGTGACCAATTGTAGTCGTCATCCCTTTTGTTCTCGCATATAAATTTTTATTTCTTTTCTGTGATTTCCTTGTGTCCTGTTGGTTTATTTATATTATGTTATCTGCGTGCTTTATATTCCCTTTGTGACCCTGGGAATGAGATATTTCCCACATCATCGGTTCTCTCCTTGACTTCCCTGCGTTTACCCGTCTTGCAGCTTCGAACCATTCCCCCAAAATGAAAACACGAAAACGAAAGCATATTACACGAGTAGAGACCCAATAATAATGCAAGCCCGAATCAATATGGAGGGGCACTGTGTACAAATGCGTAGAGGAGAGTCTGGGACTGAAAAAACTGAACAGGGCTTCTTCAACAGGACTTTTTCATGCTGCAGAGTCCGTGGAATACTCACGTCTTGAGCAACAATTCTTAAAGACGACTCGAAGTGAAAAGTCGCATGTGGTTCCAGAAGCCCGGTACCTGTAGTTTCGACATTTCATTGCGGTAAAATCAGCTACAAAGCCAATCCTCTGGCCATTTCGAACGCTCATTATTCAGATGATGTTCAGGGGAGACGGATTCTGCGAAAAGGATCGGATCGGCGGACTCGTTGTTTCACTACTTTCCCATGGAATCAGCATTCTGGAGGCATGCATTCGGTTTCATAAGAGGAGCAATATCGCATTATCTCGTCTGTTACCAGATGACAGGGAAAGTGAGACTACGGATCTAGGGGTCTATAACTTGCGCAGCCAGGAACGGAATACATTGAGGAAATGTTATTCTTTACTGTTGAACTTCGAATTATTCTTACGAATTATTCAAGGTTTTATATTTTCACCAACATTCCCTTTTCTTTTATTTTTGCTCATCATTGCAGCAACAGTCATTGGATAGTAAAGCAGAAGCGTTCAAGAACTGGATAGAGCCTTCCATCCCTATCTATCTACAGTTCTACGTGTTCAACGTCACCAATCTAGACAAGTTTCTCTACGAGGGAGCAACACCGAATCTGCAACAGCTTGGACCATACACCTACAGGTTGGGAGAGACCATAATATTGAGGGATCCCAGGGTCGCGAGTGCATTTGCATGTGTTCTAAACTGCCTTTTCGATTGTTCTGAGCAGAGAGATACTGAAGACGGAAATGCTGGAGATCTACGACAACGGTACAGCGGAGTATTTCCACAACAGGACTTACATCTTCGAAGACAGCATGTCGGAAGGAAAGGAATCAGATATCATCACCACTTTGAATACTCCAGTTCTGGTATGAGATGTAGAGACAAGCAAATAGGAACATCCACACACAATTTTCAACTCATCAAAATGTTCCTCCATGCAGTGCGCTCTACCCGAGTATGCAATGCCCAACTTGAGTCCAGTCTGGTACATATTCGTTGGGTGCATTTACCTTTCCGTGCTCCGGACAAGTATGCTCGCCGCGTTACACAATAGAGATACAAAAACTTAGCGTTGAAAGAGTTAAGTTGGAGACATCTGGCGAAACGAAGCATAAAAATTAGCTGGGTGGAATCAAGCGCGCCAGCTTTATAACCTTCCTCATGGAAACACGCAGATAGAGACTGTTTTTACTACGAATATGCTTCATTTTCTCTGCCAGAGGGATTTCCCTAGACCAGGAATGATTATGTAGAATAATCCATGGTTTGAAGTTTCCACTTGGAGCATCTAGGCAGCCTGAAAGGCCTGTTAAGATGTTTCTTTCAGTCTAGGCCATTGCTTTCCATGGGCCTATTAAAATCAACTTCGGTATTTGCTGTCATAGGAAAAGTAGCCATTATTACCCCTTGACATGATAAGTTTTAACATGAGTGGGGAGCGGAGTTTTGTGCGCTAATAAGTTAAAAAAATATGCACATGCATGTGCACTTAAAAATGCCAAAAGGTGCATGAAATATGCATGATGGGAAAAATATGGTAAAACATGTTGTTTTTTTTATGCAGCAAAAATTTTTCGGAAGAAGGAACTTCAATGCACATTTCATGCCTCTACTGGCTATAGTTGATCGGTTGCTGTCACAGCCAGCAGCAAAGCCGGGAACTCGCCAATGGGGGCATCGGGAAACGAGCATGGAACGAGCAGCAGTTGTGCCGTCGCTCGCCTTCTGGATCTATCCCATTCAACCATGCACAAGGTTCAAACTCAACAAACTCAACAAATGTTTCCGTACAAACTGAAAGTGTCCAAGAACGTGTTCAAACGTTTTTTCGTTCCATGTGCACTTGTGCTAGGCTCTTCGTCAATCGCACCTCTGATCAGAGAGTCACGGCATGCCTCCATGCGGCTTGTTGCAAGCACAACCAACCTTCTCGAAATCAAATTCATTAGAGTTTGTCTCGAGCAGGGCCCCAAACGCAGGTGCTGTGCTGTGCGGTATTTTCGTAAGGCAACAAAAGCATTACAGCTTAGCTCGCCTCTCTGCTTCTTAGTCAAAGTCATGACTTTCCTATGTATTAATATGACCGAAAATCATTACATACTTACAGTAGTGGTTCAACATTGCCAAGTGTGTAAATATGGGCAAAACCTAAAATTTACTAAATTTTCGCAAAAAAGTATCCCAATAAAATTTCACTGTTCTATGCCTTTCCGTTCCGGAGATATTGAACTTCAAAAGTGTACGTTTTTTTATGGACACCCTGTATATACAACATGGAATTAGCGTCAGTCAGTTACTCAGTCACGATGGTCTACCCACCCATAAGCCTACCCACCCAAAGGTTATGCCCTGAGGGGATGCACCACAAGAACGGAATTTTTCCTGAATTCAACAGTCAGTCATGCATGTGGCAGGTTTCACTTTCCATTTCAGCCCAATTCACTAGGACACTAAAAAAAAAAAACTCTTGACGAACGCCACCCCAAAAAATTATGCTCCCAGGGCATGCATCTAAAAATTGATATTTTTCCTGAACACACTGTCTCAGTCCATGCCATGTTTCAGCTTTCCATGGCTCTCCATTTGACTGAAGCAAATATGTATTGATATCATTGAAAATATATTCCTCCAAAGTGTGTGCCCCAGGGTATGTACCTCCAAAGTCGAATTTTTCTGAACCCTGCATCCCAATACATGTGCACCAAGTTTCAGATTTCTACCTCATCTAGAACATGGTTAGAATTAGCGTCAGTCACTCAGTCACTTAGTCACAATCGTCTATATTCAGAGCGATTCAAAATAATGTATACACACTTTGAATCACTCTATACCATTGATGGTAAATGTCACAACAACTAATGATGGTGCAATTGCTAGCATACATCATTACTTAAAATTTGTGTTTTCAAAGGTTACATAAAATATTCTCAAAATGGCGGATTTACGGTTGAATTTCGAACGAAGGAAGAACATATTAAAGTGGTACGGCATGTATGAGAATGTAAAGGAAGTACAGCATGTCTAGATGCGAGAGTATGGAACAGCAGCAGCCATATGTGAAACAATTAGTCATATACTTGATACATTTGAAGAACACGGAAATGACCAAGATGCTATTAAAATCCAGTGCGAATAAACCGAACAGCGTGAAATCAAGAAAATGAGGAAACTAATAACCGCGTACTAGCATTCTAAAAAAAAAATACATTTTGAAAATTTGACATAAGATGGCTATTTCAAGTCGTTTTCACATGTTCAGTTGTGCACATGGTAAAGTTTTTTTTTTTCAGCACCATAAGTATTGAAGATACATAATTTCAAAATATGTATTCATAATTTTTAATCATCCTGTAGATGTATCGCAACACGACTATCGCTATACGACTATATTCAGCGGCTTGGAAAAAAAATCGAATTTTTAGAGCATGCCCCTTTTGATAGATAAATAAAAAATCAGCTGAAAAAAAACAAACAAATCATTCATCGTTGGAATGATCTCAAGCTCTCCTTTCCATTGATTCTACTCAGGATGCTGTAAGTGTTCCTTCACATCGAAAAATTCTCGATCAATGATAATCAATGAGAAATGATAAAATTTCAATTTATTGAGGAATCCTTCTAGTGTAGCAGACAAAATAGGGAAAAAAGTAACTTGCTTTATCGATTTTCCAGAAAGAGGAGTGCGACCTACCGTAACGATAGATTTGTCTTTTCCCTCACTACATAGGGATTTCTGGGGGTGAAAATCGACAAAATTTCACTTTTTAAAAACTCATTGTGCTGTTGAATTCTCATTCAAAATCCAGGGGGTTATGGAGCGATTGTTTGCCTATTTGAATAGCTTCGGTTCGAGCCATTGCACTCCTCGATACGATGAATGGTTTCCGAGACTGAAATTTTGCAGTTCATGGGGTTTTTCCGTTTTCCCCACAGTTTTTGGGCAGATTTACCGCAGATTCGATGGTGGCGATTCTTTTTTTACGTTGTCGTTTGTCATTTAAATTACATTTTCATCACAATAGTGTTCACCGTAATCAATATCACTTGGTAGGTTCAATTGGAAGAGGAGCTTTCGAAAACATCATCGATAGCAGTCGATGCCTTTAAGAAATTTTATCTTTTACAGACCATGGTTGGGTTATTAGAAGAATTGAACAATCCCTTCTTTGATGCCGGTTTCGACCTCATCATCGAAGCAATGGAGACGACGGACGACGGCAAGCCGCTTTTGAGGAAATCAGTCGAAGAGCTCCTCATCAAAGGATACGAGTTGACTTTCATCGATAAATTGTGGGACGTACTGGTACACGACTTGTTGCTGGATGAAGAATTTGTCAACGAAACCTTTTCCGACATTCTGCCGCCTGAAATGGCTGATGGGATTTTCGGTTACTACCTTGTGAGTGCCCAGAAAATAGTTTCCTTGAGTGTATGAGGATGCGACTGGGGTTTGGATGGGATAAAATTTTCACATTAGGAAATCCATTCGATAGCTTATGTATTCTTCGGCACGCGATTTTTCTCGATTTTTATTCTTCAACTAATTGTTTCTTTGATCCTCTCGCGACCTACCGATAAGAACATGCCGACCAACCAGTCGGGCACCAGGGTATAGAGGGCAACAAAATGTTTACCACTAAGGAACCTACCGCACCCTCTATCCGTGAATGCATTAATGTGCTCACCTATGGAGGCAGCAAAAAAATGCGTACAAACCTCGAAACGTTGGACAATTGACGACGATGAAGGACTCCGGAGCAGATTCAGACTCTCGCGGAGTCTCATCTTGGACATCCGTGTTCTAGTCCAGGCGACTATACAAAGGGGTACTGCCCGTTGTGGAGCACTACCAATACAACCTGTAGTATGTGCGGCTCTATTTCGTGCATTTAGTTGGAACACGACGAACTTTATGTTTCCAGAGATAAGGTCGATAAACACTGACTGCGAAGTGCTGCGACAAAGCCGCACTGCGACAGTCTGCGAAATTCGTATTCTTTCCTTGACTGCGACCGTCTACGAAGGATCTTCCACACTGGTCGCAGAGCTCCCAAGCGAAATCCAATACTGCTGTGTTCAATTTGAGAGCTCGTGCTGCAATACTTTTGCTTTTTTCTTGGTGTGGTAGTTAGGTACGTCCAGTACACAGATCCCATCACCAGATGGGAGAATTAAATAGAAAATATTATTACCGAAGACTGAGTATTTCTCTCTTATGTCCGTGAGAATGTCTCTTGGGCTGTTTAAGACCCATCTTGATCTGCTGGAAGAGAAAGCAGGACACAAACTTCAGATCATGCATTTCCCCGCGCAAATGGTGGCAGTGTCATTGAGTGGGGTAAATGCATACTCCTTACAAATAGTCAAAATATCTCAAATACGTACAAATCATGCAGCACTCTCCTGAGACAAGAGCTTCTCAACTTAAAAAAAATTAAAATTAGAATTCATGAAATGAAACAATGGAAAACCATCGGGAATATAATTGATATCGAGACCTTTCTTGAAGATTTATTTTCTCTAGCTATATATCTTGCCCATGGGAAATCAACGGTGATGATCAACATCATCTACTGCCGATATCATTCCGACAAAAGAGCCGCCAAATTAAGTATCCAAGGATTTCATAACTTGCAGTCGATTACTGCGCAGCGCAAACCACTGCGATGTGACGGGATAGAATCCGATTCTATTGCGAAGCATACTGCGATCGACTGTGAAGGTCCCACGCATCTTCAATGCGAACGATCGAGACGAGCTGCGACGGTCGCAGTGGTCGCAACGCAGCTCTTCGCAATCGTTGTGCATTGCCTCATAGCCTCAAACACAGAATGGATGCACCAAAATATGATGGGAATGGAAAAGCCTTGGCCATTACTAAGGATGGAGTAGATGAAGCCTGTGGCCAGGAATCGAAAAGCCGCACACATTACAAGTTGGGCTGGTAGTGCTCCACAACGGGTAGTACCCCTTTGTATATTCACCTGGATTAGGGCACAGATAACATGAAGATGAAGATCGGTCGCGAAGTACTCCTTCCCAACGAAGCAACCTTCGAATTAGATGAAGCCATGCAGGTCGTGCTAACACGGAGAGCGGTAAGTCACAAGTGGCAGGAAGAATGCACATGCATCGGTTGGGGCCATGTTATCAAGAATACACATTGGTGGGCAGCGTATCTGTAGCCCTCAGAGAAGTTAAAGTCGAGATTGAGAGACCTCCAAAAGTGTCTTTATTTTTTCTTTAAGTTGAGTTGAGATGAAGTCGAAATATACACGAAAGAAAGTAAAAAAGAAAAAGGTGAAGAACGTTTCGTGAAAAAGCGCCTGGCCTCCACGCTGTAGAACCTTCCGGAAAGGTTATTCACATTTTCAGTTTCCAACCTGAAGAAAGACATCAATCCACTCCACCAAGTACGACGTGTATGCTTAAAGCTGAAAACCCTGGGCAGAACGGCTTCTACATATACTGTCCTAATACTCACGACAACTGTGTTTGTTTCCAATTTTCATCGCCTCAAGTAACAACATGAAACTTAGCCTACCATACTGACTAACAAGAAATTACTCTACATTTCACAAAACATGTCACTCAATGATAAAAAGCAAATTAAACCCTCACATAATGGAATTTGAATGACGTGGAGCTTCCATTGCGCAGCTGAATGGTACCAGCGACGGTGTTTACTTGGTCGGCACCGGCGAAAATGGACCGGAAGACTTCGCCGATATCAAGCTCTGGCAAGGGGAGCCATTTCACTATAAGGAACCATGGCGGACAGATGAGTGCAACATGATCAATGGCACTGACGGCACCATCTTTCCCCCCTACGTCGACGAAAACTCCATCCTATATGTATTCACCCCGGACTTATGCAGGTGAAACACTCAATCACTTTCAGGGTACGTGCTCAAGCTAATACATTTGCAACACAACTCCCAGGTCGGTGTACCTCACGTACGAGCAGGACGTGGAACTTCAAGGGACACCAGGACTTCGATTCATCGTCGATCCTGACGTTCTCGAAGACCCAGAAATTAACCTGGCCAATAAATGCTTTTGTTTATCGGATGGAACATGCTTGAAAGCCGGAGTTTTAGATCTCTCCGAATGTAGAGGTAAGTCGAAAAGAACCCGTGATGCTTGAATCCCATTGAAGAACGATCCTTTATGGTGCTGCATTCTGAAGTCGAAGTCGTATCTTGTGTATGGGATAACTTTCCTAAAAGTTTCCTCCCTATAGATATCCCGTTGGTGATGTCCATGCCGCACTTCTACTTAGGATCAGAAGAATACTTCAACGAATCCGTCGTGGAAGGATTGGAGCCGAGGAAAGAATGGCACCAGACCTTCGTCGACCTCGAGCCTGTGCGAATCCATCTCTCGTCTA